CTCTCAGTTATGAGACTCTTTTTTAAAATGATGATAGAAGATAAATAGCACCCACTTTCTTCACTCAAGTCATCATCACAAAACAGGGTAATGCACCAGGATTCAGTCATTCTAGCTGTACGACCAGCACACCCTATCAGTGGTGACCAGATTTTAAGCCAACAGCTCTGAGTCAGTTTCTTGCTATGGTTGGCTTCTTTCAGAACTTCCTCCAGGATAATTAGGAGACCTTTTTCATCACCACTTTACAGACCAGGGAAGTAAGCAGCCAATCATTTCCTCCAGTCCAGGAAAATAAAAGGTCAACCATTTCATGTATTCCAAGGCAGTAAGGGGCCAACCTTTTCTTGGGAGTCATCAAACGTGATCTAATTGATGATATCACCTCAATTAACAAAAATTTTCTATTTTTCCCTCCACACACAGTAGTACTGGTAGAAAAATGTAAGGTACCCAAGAATAAAAATCCCAATGTAGCAACAAGGCAGTGAGTTGCCCAAAAGACCATGTAGCTAGTAAGAGCAGGCCCAGATCCTCTGATCCCCAAAGTTGCCCTCTTTTCATCGCACCATGCTGCCTCTTTTATGATCTTGCTAGCAGCTACATGAATGTTCTGCTTGTATTCATCGGACAGAACTAGAAACAAAGAGAATTTAGATTTGATGTTAGGGAGGAAAAAAAAAACCTGCCTCACAATTCCTGCAATCCCAAAATAATGGACCCTCGTAGGAGGTAGCAAGTTCATCTCCTTGAAGGTCTTCGAGCAAAGAATGGGTAGCTCCTTGTGAGAGATGTAGAAGTGATTCTTGTACAACTCACCATTAGACTAGATGGGCCCCTGAGGTTCCTTCCACGTCTAAGACTCTGTGCCTCTGTGACACGCTCCGAGGACTTCAACTCAATTACATAACACAACGCTTGGTGTGGTTACACTTTGCCCATTCATTAACAACAGCTGCTGTTTTTATTCTTCCTCCTTTTTCCTTTCTCCCACCCCCAACACCTTCTTATAGTCTGTGCCCCTGAACGAGGAGTGGGGGAAGAGTGGGGATCAATGACAAAGGTCACTGATCTTCCAGTTTCTCCTCCCTCCAAAACACATTAGCTCAGTCAGCCCCTGAGGTTCACTGCACAAATGATCTGTCCTTTCCCACCCCACTCCAAATTACAGAAGCAGAGAGTTAGGCAAAAAAGAAACGTCGGTGGCAGTATCAGCACCGGTGCAGACGAACACGGGCAAGAAACAGGTGTGCTTAAACCATCCCAGGAGAGTTTTTAGAAAGTATGCTGAGAAGCAGCAGGGTTACTTCAATCCACAGAGGTGAAAATTAAAGATGAAGTACAGGATACACTCTCACCATGTAGTGATCTTAGTAAGTAAAACCAGACCTGGGTCAAAAGGACACTTTAGGGATGGACAAGAGCCCCACAATTGGGTGGTAAAGATATACCAATCTATGTGGAGCCTTGGAGAGAGCACTGGCCCTGGAATCGGGAAGACCTCAGTTCAAATCCAGCTTCAGAGTCTTTCTGGCTGTATGACCCTGCACAAGTTCCTTAACCTCTATCTCATTTTCCTCAACTATAAAATGGGGAAAATAATAGCACCCACATCACAGGGTTGTTCTAAGGATCAAAAATAAGTTAACATTTCAAAAGTGCCTTAGCACAGTGCTTGGCACATAGTAAGTGTTTAATAAACCCGTGTCCCCTTTCCCCTCCTACCACTTCAAAGAATTAACTGTCCATTACACATAGGCCAGAAGCTAGACAGAATGAGTCCCAGAACTTTTAGCTCCTGGTATTTCTTCAGATAAGTTGATTATACTGAATTACAGAAAACTAAATCAACCTGATCTGGTTAGTCAGACCTTGGCACCACTGAAACCAAAGTAGAGAAATGATACTCTACAGATGAGAGATAGCCAATTTCTCTACCAAGAAGAAAGTCCCAGGAACTGATTCCTAACTTGGCATACTTACTCATTACTATTCTAAAAAGCACTAGACCCATACCCTACTGATCAGTGCACCAAGGAGGCTAGCCAATCAGTTGGTTTAAACAGTTAGGATCTATAGAAAAGCCCAAAGCTCAGATTTCAATGCTATCGTTTAAATTTCTCATTACCTGGTGGTGGGTTTTTTTTTCCTTTAAGCTCAATATTCTATTATAATTATTATTGTTATGAAGACTTTAGGCAGTTTTATATTTCTTAACTCATCAGGTTTTTAACAAGTGGAAGAAACACTACTCTATCATGTTTGAGGGACTGCTTTGTCCCTGTGCTTTGAATAGAAACAAAACCAGACCCTGCCCTCTGGCCCTCTTGGGATCCTATTTGGAATACTGTGTCCCATTTTCAGATATCAACAAGCTGGAGTTTATACAGGACAGTGACCAGGATAGTAAGAGTACTAGAGATCATTTACACATATCTGTATGTGTGCACATGTGTACATATACACATACACACATGCGTGTGTGTCTATAGATGCATATATACATGTGTCTTCCACATGGCCCATACATATACACATATAACATATATACACACATACATGTGTGTATGTATGTGCGCATGTATTAACATCCTTTGAAGGAATTTTGACACATTTATCCTGGAAAAGAGAAGTCTCTGACATACAGAACATGGCAGACTTGAAGTATTTAAAGGGCTGGCAGAGATGTGTAATGAGGAAGAGGGAATTGGGCTTGTTGCTTAGTTCCAAAGAGCAGAACTAGGAGAAATAGGAAGAACTTGTAGGGAAGTAGATTTGTGGGTTAGTCAGTCAATAAGCATTTATTAAGAACCTACTATATGACAAGAGCTAGGGATACAAATACAAAGGAAGACAGTCCCTGCCCTCAAGGAGCTTAGATTCTAATAGGGGAGGCAGGGAGGTAGATAGAGCACTGGTCCTGGAGTGAGGAGGACCTGAGTTCAAATCTGGCCTCAGCTCTGGGGCATGATGGAGAAGTACCAATAAGTTCATAATACAGTTAGTAGGAAATAGGGAGAGGACTGTGCTGGGACTCCTCCTTATGTGGTTTTGGAGTTCATGGCTCTGGTCTCCAGTTGGAGGGTCCAGAGTGGCAGAGGATACTGATGAGATTTGGGCTGGATGTAAGGAAAAACTCCCTCACACTAGAATAAGCTGCCTTGACAGGTACGGGTTTCCCTCAGTAAAAGGTCTTCAAATGAAGGCTAGATGATTTTTTTGGGGGGTGGGTACGTTGCAAAATGAAAAGATGTTCTGTAAAGCACTTTGCAAACATCTGAGCTCCATGGCAATAGCTATTAGTAAAGGGGATTCTTATACAGGCACAGAGAATTGAATTTAAAGTTGGAAGGGACTTTTGAGGCCAAATAGTTCAACTCCCTCACTGTACAGATCTGAAAACTGAGGTCCATAGGGGTTAAGTGACTTGCCCAGTGTCACCAAGAAAGTAAGTTGCTGACTGGGATGTGAATCTATATCTCCTCTACCTTGAGATTCAGTGCTCTTCAGTGCTCTAGATGGCTTCCCAGGTCCCTTCCAATTCTGAAGGAAGACACCAGGCTTCCTTTCAAAGCTTCTGAAAACATTCCAAGACTACAACAAAGCATGCAATGAACTTCTTCAAGGAGGACATAGTGGTCCTGAAGATTTCATCCCAAATCTGTATGCAATAATCACCTAATGCCAGGCTACACATCACAGGCTATATCTTTTTTGGAAAACATGTACAGTAGAGCAACAGAAAACAGGATTGCAAAAAGGCCTTAAAAGGACCTAATATGTTCATGGAGGATTAAAGCGCAAAGTCAAAACCTGCCAAAGAGTAAAAATTAGGACACACACAGGGAGCCAGACCAGATAAGACTCTCAGGGGTACAACTCTTTTTATAAGATCTGTTTTGTTTGTGGTACTCCAGACAGACAATCCACATGTCCCACACCAGTGTGACAGCCAGGAAAACCTCACTCCCATTCTTAAGTGGGGGGGGGGGAGGAAGTGATACAACTGAAGTGGTCCATTCCTCCTGAACTCGGGTGCCATGCCCACCTCCTCCTCACCCAAGGCATCTGCTGGAGTCAACATCAGGATCACAGCCTTTTCTGAAGCACCAAGTTTTACAACAGCCACCACCCGGAAAATGTGAGTGGTGTCCCCGTGTTCAGTTCTGCCCCCCACGCCGCTGACTCTCCCAGCCTGGCCCAGGTACACAGAGCTGGGTCTCCCACCCCTCCCAGCGGTGCTCCGCTCCCTGGTCCTGGCCTTCTCCCCCGCCCATCCGGCCGCCTGCTGTCTCTATTACTCAGCGCTGCTCGAAGGGGGAGGCCTCCCCGCCCCACCCCGCCCTCCACCCCCATCAATGGTAGGGAGGAAGGCTCCCTGCCTTAGAAGCTGCCCCAAAACCGCAGAGGGTCAAGGCTGGAGATAAGGCTGCCCCCAGTTTCAGGGCAGGGTTGGACGCATGGAGAAGGGAACACAAACGCCTCTGCCTAAGCGTTCCTGGGGGGCGCAGGCTGTGGCACAGAGAGGGGGCCGCTGCCCGCCCCCCTGGCCAAGGAGGCGCTCAAGAGGACGCGTTCCTGGAATCGAACAGACTTGGCTTAGCCCCGGTCTTCCCTGCGCTAGGCGAACCGGGCCCTTCCCGTGCGCTTAGCCCCATGCCCCTACTGCCTTCCCCTGGCCAGGCCCAGAGCGGCCCCACGTGGGGGCCCGGGCAGCAGCTGCGGGAGCGGCAGCCGAGAGAGAGAAGCCAGGGTTCAGCTCGAACGGCAGCGGGAAGGAACACTAGCAGCCAGGCCCCGGGCCGCTGCGTCCCCGCCCGGGGCCGCCGGACGCTTGCCTGCCCACCGTGGTCCCCGCGCCTCCATGGATCTGAGCTCAGGGCTGGGGGGCGCAGACAGGCAATCAGCCCACCCGACCTTCCCTCCCTCGGATCCACGGGCTGGCCTGGGACCCCACCCTCGCGCCTATCCAGCCAGCCGGGAGGGGGGAAGGAACCTACCGTCTGTGGCCACCATCTCGATGAGCGTCTCGCTCCCGCGCTTGGCCAGCCGGTTCATGGCTCCGCAGTGGCCGCCTTGGGGCCCGCCCGGCGGCGGTAGCCGCAGCCCCAGCAGTCGCACGGGAAAGTTTCGGAGAAGAGCCGAGATAGGGCTGCGGAATCAGAACTGGAGGAGGGGACCAAATCCTCCCTCAGGCTGGTCTCCTCCTCCCTTGCTCTCCTCCCTCTCCTCCCTCCTCCGCCTTTATTCGGCTTTGGGGATCCCCTCCCTCCTTCCCTCCCCCATTCCCACCCAGGCTCCACCGAGGCCGCGGCAAGTCCGAGGTAGGCTCACTCCAATCAAGTTACTTAGAGTTGGAGAAGAAAAGCCCGCCCCTTAAAGGGCAGCACGGCCACATACTGTCCTTGGGAGGGAGGGGCGTGGGCGTGGAGTGAGTCTCCGGGTACGGAGAGTGGAGGCTCTGGTTGTGAAGATCCGGAGGAGACAGCAGCAGCAGCCTCAGCAGCAGTCTTCTTTGACTTGTTGGGGGTTAAACTGTGTTTTGGATTCATCCAGGGGAGGTTTTTTGTTTTTTATTTTTAATAGCATTTATTTAGCTCTTGCTATATGCCAGGCACTAGGTTAAGCGCTTTAAAAAAAAAAATCATCTCATTTGAAGCTCCCCACAACTCTGTGAAGTAGATGAGGAAACTGAGGTAGACAATTTAAGTGACTTGCCCAGGCTGGTATCTGAGGTCGAATTTGACTCAGGTCTCCCGGACTCAAGGCGAAGTTCAGCCAGCTTTTTTCTTGCATATGCAGTAGAAGTGAATCTATCCAGCCTGTTGCTGTGGTCCAAGACACCACACCTCCCTGTGTCAGTTTCCCTATTTGTAAAATAAGGATTGTACTAAATGGTCTCCCTTCCGACTCAAGATCTGTAATCCTATGACTTATTAAAAGCTATCAGTGAGCAATGCAAGGGGGTAATCATAGTAACTAGCATTTACAAAAGGCTTTAAGGTTTGCAAAGCTCCTTACAAATATTATCTCATTCTATCCTAACAAGCTTGGGAGTTAGATCCCCATTTTAGATGACTTTACTGAGGCAGAGTTTAAGTGTCTCGTCCGAATCGTCTGAACCTGAGTTAGCAGTAGGTCACCAATAACCCAGGGTTAAGGGAGCACCCAAAGGTAGTGGGAGTCTATTCCCAAACATGCATCTGTCTCCCCTCTCTCTTCTACTTTATTTGGCTACTCCCTTCCCCCTTCATTTTCTTTCATTGTAGATTCAACGCAGGAAAGGACCTGTGGGGTTATTCATTACAATCTCATTTTACAAATAAGAAACCTGAGACTTTGATATTAAGTGACTTGGCCAGAGTCTTATAGAGTAGTAATAGTAAAAGTAAGATTTGAACCCAGGTCCTCTGATTGTGAATCTATAGTTCTTTTTATTAGACCACACAGGCTTACCTCCCCACCCTTCTTTTCTCCTCTAGGCCTTCACCCCTGAAAAACCTTTTAAGGTAGGCGCTTTGGGCCCTGTAAGACCTAACAGGGGTGGGAAACCTGAGGCCTCAAGGCCACATGTGGCCCTCTAGGTCTGACAGCATCCAAACTTCACAGAACAAATCCCATTAATAAAAGAATTTGTTCTGTAAAACTTGGACTCAGTCAAAAGGCCACACCCAAAAGGCCTAGAAGGCCACACCCAGGTCCCCCACAGCTAAGAACAGTTAGTGGTTGATACTGGAAATTGTCACCCTGGTGTTGTTGCCTTCTGACTAAGATTGCTACTTCAAAAGGTTATATTAAATTGTAGGACTACTTTTTTAATCTGGCACTTCACTTTCATTATCCAATTACATACGTTTCATAATCTATTTAGAACTAAGTTGTGCCAGAAGTACAGGGCTAGTTAACAGGACTGACGTAGAATTTGGGAGAGCATCTACTTTTTGTTTTTAGTAATATGAATTGTTTCATTCTTTTCAATTTATCCCTATTTCCACCACTTCATTCTTCTTTGATTCTAACCTGCCCTTTCGGATCACTGTTACATACAATTGCTGCAGTAATCATCCTAAAACAAATGTTTTTTAAAAGAATGTCATTCCCCACCTTGTAATGCCCTCCCCCCCCCCTCCGTTGCCTATGACGGCAGCTAGAATGCTAGGTGTGGAGAATGGAAAACTTGGGTTCAAATTCAGTCTCAGACACTTACCAGTTGTGTGACTCTGATTTACCTCGCTTTTCTTACTTTTAAAATCAGCTACAGATGGAAATGGTAAATCACTCCAGAAGGGCAGCTAGGTGGCAGAATGGATGTAGTGCTGGGCCTGGAGACAGGAAGACTCATCTTCCTGAATTCAAATCTGACCTCAGACACTTACTAGTTGTGTGACCCCGGACAAGTCACTTCACCCTGTTTACCTCAGTTTCCTCATCTGTAAAATGAGCTAGAGAAGGAAATGGCAAACCACTCTAGTATCTTTGTCAAGAAAACCCCAAATGGGGTCATGAAGAATTGGACATGATGGAACAATAACTGTCTACTACATAAAGACTAAAGTTCACTATCATGTTTTTATGGTCCTCTTGGCTTATATAATTCTGTTAAATTTGCTGGGCATGTGATTCAGGGGCTATAAAGACACAAGTATCCACCCAGACACCTAGCACTAGGCCATGAACCTTGCAGGCATTTGTTGAAAAAAATAATTTACAGCTATTCTAACTCCAAGGTATTATGATGTTGTGAATGTAGATATTGTGATGTGTGTATGATGAATGTAGATGTGTGATGTTGTGAAGGTAGGAATAATACAACCTGGCAACAGATTGGATTTGCACGTCAGTGAGAAGTCAAGAATGACAGCAAGTTTGTGATCCCTGGTGACTCAGGGTGATGGTTTCCTTGACAGTAGTAGGAAAATTGGGAAGATGGGATAATTTTGGAGGAAAGATAAAGGAGTTCCATTTTATCGTGTTCAGTTTGAGATATCTATGGGAAATACAGATCCAGATGTCCAATGGATGATTTGTGATGTGAGAGTGGAAGTCAGGAGAGAAGGTAAAGCTGACAGATCTTAACACCAGCTACATAGAGAGCATTGAATCCGTGGAAGCTTATGAGATCAGCAAGCAAAATAGTATAGAGGAAGAAGAGAAGAGGGTCCAGAATAGGTCTTTGACTGACATCCACATTTAGTGGACCTGGCCCGGAGGAATATTCAGCAAAGGAGACTGAGAATGAATGGTCAGACGGTAGCAAGAGAACCAGGAGACAGCAGTGTCGGGACAACTTTGAGCAGAGAAAGAATCCAGGAGAAGAGGGTGGTCAAAATTATCAAAGGTTTCAAAGAGGTTAAGAAGCGTGAAGACTGAGAAAAGGCTATTAGATTTGGCAAGTAAGAGGAAACTGGAAACTTTGGAGAGAGCAGTTTCAGTGGAATGATGAGGATGGAAGCCAAACCTCAGAGGGTTTAGAAGAGAAGGTGAAAACCCCTCAGAGGATTTAGAGGAGAAGTGAAAGCACCAATTTGAGATGGCTTCCTCAAAGAGTTTAGCCATGAAAGGCAAGATATGTGTATGTATGTATATATGCTGTATACACACAAAATATATACATGCCCTATATTGTATATATAGTATACAATTGTTATATACATATATCATGTACAATATATACATATAAATACAATCGTATATATATTCACACATATATATGTATATGAGTATGTGCTTTGTTTGTGTTTGTGTTTGTGTATGTTTATAGCCGTCATAGCTACCAGGGATGGCTGGTTCAAATGAGGCTTTTTAAAGGATGGAGAAGAAATGGACATTTTTGTAGGCAGCAGGGAAGGAGTCAATGGATTGTCAGAGATTGAAGATTAGTGAAAGAGAAGAGATGATTAAAGGAGCAATCTACTGGAGGAGATGGGATGGAATGGGATGAAGGATGCGTACTCTTAATTTCCCTTTGGGGCACTGGGAGTCCCTATTAAAGCTCTGGACAGAAGGCACACACTAAGAATTAAATAATAATGTATGAAGTAAAAAAAGGAAAGGGATAATATTCTTACATGTGGTTTGTGACTGTGGTGAACGAGTGGAGAAACAAGCACTCTCTAATTTTTCTCTCCCTATCGACCTGTTTCCAGCTCTGCACTTTTCTTCCTCCTTCTTTGTGACTCACTCTTTTTGTCTCTCTCCAAATCTGACTGTCTCTTCATCTCTCCCTTCTTTGGTCTTTCTATCTATCCTAATTCTTCTCTAAACATACATTTTTCTTTCTGGTCCTTAACTGTTCATAAAATGGAACTGAAATGCAAGTTTAATACTATAGGTTTTTTGTAAATATGAAATAAATTTTGATATTGTTATTTTTAAATGTATCAGAATAAAGATTTATATTTCTCAAAGAAAAAAACAGAAAACATTCTTTCCCCCCCACCTTTACTTCTGTTATCATTCTTGCCTATTTGTTATTGTTGATTTTCCTTTGGGTGCCTGGCTATTAATTCAATTAAGCAAACATTTATAAAGGACTTATTATATACAAGCCACTGTGTTAGGCAGTGGGGGCAGGCAAAGATAAATCACACAATGTCACTGCCCTCAAGGAGAAGCAACATGGCATGGTGGAAAAACCATGGGACTTGGATTTAGGAAATACGGGTTTGCTTTCGTAGTTAGAGGATTTGCTAGCAAAGCATGGGCATGCCATTTGATGTCTTGGAAAATCACTTTCCTCATCTTTAAAGCAGTGATGATGTCATTTTTGAAGAGCTAGATAAAACTGAGCTCCTATTATTTGGGAACTTATAATCTAGTAAAGCTTATAAATCTAGGGGCAGCTAGGTGGTGCGCCTATAGATATAGATAGAGCACCCCTGTAGAGTCAGGAAGACTTGAGTGCAAATTAGCCCTCAGATACTTCCTAACTGTGTGATCCTGGGAAAGCCACTTTAATCTCAGTTTCCTCATCTGTAAAATGGGGATAGAAATAGCACCTACCTCTCAGGGTTGTGGTGAGGATCAAATGAGATAATAATTGAAAGCACTTAGCACAGTGCCTGACACATAGACATAGTAAGCTAAATAAATAAACATTATTTTTCTTTCTTCAAATATACTACTACTACTAATAATATATTCAAATATAATAATAAGTAACACAGGGTATCTCAAAAGTCTTAAGTGCTGTTTTAAGCAATAAAGGCTTAATGCAAGCTGTTTGGGACACCC